ATTTAAAAATGATTCACTTTCAAAGAAATCGAAACTTCAATACCAAGAGTTCAATTTAGTATAAATTTACACCTTCAACTTCATCAACCCCACAAGCTTAAACTATAGAAAATACCCCACTCTTCCAAATATAAATTCACCACCATATAAACCACATCTACCATCAAATTTTTACTGGACATTAAGAATTACAAAACACTTGTAAACCATTATGACTTGAAAATTTTTGTAGCTGCTCCCCCCTTATTTGCTCAACAATTAGACAGCACTCGATCTGAAAGTTGGGCTTTACATCGATTAAAATATCGACGCGACGTTCATCAAGATATACAAGTTCATAATTTACAAATATTATTTCAACGAAATCTTGTTTTGAAATTTGAAATAAAAAAATACATAATCTGAAACATAATATTCTACCTATGCCTCAACTAGCAATTACAGTAGAATCTCACCTTCTCCAGTTAATTGTGCTAAATTAATATATAAACTCGACCGATATACGAAGAAAACAGTTGGCTACACGTCTTTTTACAATCCCTTTTCCGGACTGTCGTACACACGTATCTTTTAAAATATATAGTTTTGAACATAGTTTGTCCCTTAACATATTTGAAACCAACATCCATAAGAATCGATTTCCACGAACAGGACCACAAGGCCCTCTAGTAAGACTCTATAATTGCGACAACAAAAAGTTACACAATTATGCAATAAAGCACGTCACTCAATGTGAGTCAGAACCGCAAGCAATTAAAACAACAATTGTTATTGCCACACTATACTCCAAAGCCCGCGCTGCAACACTTATAGGCTGGATATTGAAATGGAAGTTTTCTGAAAAGAAAGCACACTGTTCAAAATTTCAAATGGAAATAAAAATAGACTTGATCACGAATCATATCAACGAAGTAATATTCAACCATTACTACATCTTTATCCTGAAGACTGCAAATATCAACTATAAAAACTAAATATAGTTAAGAATAAAGTAAAAGTAGAAAACGTGGAGCTTTGACTTTTTCCCACACTACTCAACAACACCAACTTGAACAAAGTCAAGGTCACATGAGTTGACGATAAACATCCTTATCATGGCGCACATGGACGATTAAAATTCGACTTTCATGATAAACACTGGATACCTCACATCGATATAAACGGCACATCAAAATGTTAAGCAAGCAAAAAACACAGGATATCAAGAAAGAATGTTCTTTGATTGGAAAATACAAATTGAAGACGTTGAACTTACGTTTAAAAGACGACACAGTAATATATCAAGGCATTCTCTTGTTGTGGTAGGTTGATCAAGGTTTTTGCGATCCCACAATTTGCACACAGGCAACCATTGTTCGGTTCCCCGGAGAAACTTGCACAATCTTCCAATTAGCTAAAAAACAAGCACCAATGATTAAGTTTCATCAAAAGTATTTTATAGAATCTATAACCCTTTTATCATGTAAAGCCCCCAAGAACAAAATCAGATAAAACCCTTAGAAGAACATTCCAAGCATTGAAAATAAATAACCAAAAACAGTATTTGCATAAAAATATTGGAAAAACTATTTTAAATCTCAATTCCGAAGTCCTAGATGAATATGAAAACGTATACGATATGAAAACAGGAAAACTCGTCATCCATGAAACCGCAACAAATAAAAATCGTTACGATGAGAAATCCTACATACCTTTCTCATTCCATGAAAACAATGGACATCTAAGTGGAAAAACTTTTCCGGAAGATCGTGATAGCAAACGACTTAGGAACTATCTCTGATGAATGAAACTTTTTTGGAGCAATTCTTCATCACACACATTCAGATATGAAACTTGATTCATTATCAGCAGAATTTTCCGAGAAATGTCACTATGAGAATTCTAAATACTACATCACTTATGCGCAGTAGAACGATCACAAATACTACAATCTTAAGTAATAGCAGTATGGAAAATCCCTTATACAATATAAAGGCGACATTCTTTGGTACTACACCTCCAGGAAAAAAGTATCACCTCCTTATCATTTGCCGATAAACGCTGTTATCAAAAAATTCTCGCTGCTCGTTTTTTTTAAAAGTAATGTTCATTTCGTACATACAATTTTCATGAGAAAACTGTTTTTATTGATTGAGGAGATATTTTGTGCACGAAATTTTTTGCGCTGAGATTATTCAGATACATTTCACACTTCAGTATATATTATATACATCTCATGTATCTAAATAATCTCAATGGAGAAAATTTGCGCGCTCAGTATATCTCCTCAATCAATATCTTTAGTTTCCTGCATATTAAAGTTATAACTGTTAGCTTTTTAGGATGGCCGCATTACATCATAGAGAGACTCCCAATTCTCTACGCCATGTTTAACGTTATAGGATTTTTGTTTTAGCCCTTAAAGGAATATACAACACAGGTGCATTCCATACGCAAATCAACAGGCAAGCATGCCTAGCTCAAGTATAGCAGGATTTTATGGAATTTTTCCAACTTCCATAAGTGAAATTTTACCTGACGCCCAAATTAACCAATACAATTAAAAAAACATTCCTCAAATCCCAGCCTATATGACGACCCACAAACAACACACATAATAACGCCTACAGCACCGATACAATCACATAGTTTACCGAATCAAAATCAATTTCAAATCATTTCACACAAGTTAAAGAGTAACTTTCAACTACCATCATGACGATGAAACAACGAAGCCCAATCTCCCATATTGTTTATCAAGCACATAATTCGAATGAAGCATGTGAACAAATAAAAGATTAAACACATACAGTAAGTTTTCGTTCTCATGTTGATAATAATTTTAGCTCGCAATGAGCTGCCAAATCGGAGACTTCAACCGATCTTTTCAGAGACTTCCAATCTCCTATGCCAGAACTCTTCACATCCATCAATGAACTTCTCTACATATTTTCCATTCCAGTTTTTCCACTTCATCACGAAACTCATCCGACAAGCACTCAGATGACTCAATCCAGACAGTTTTTAACGCACAATAATGACTCAGAAGCCAGCCCAATTACTATTTTTCACAACCACCTTCTATCCCTTTTATTTCCTCAAACCCAATATTATCCTATTCATTAACTCCAGTTTCTCATATACCGACGCTTCCACGATCTTTTCACGACTACCTAGCACTATTAACGACACCTAGAACCCTATCAATGAGGATCAATTTGAGCCCGACTTAGATGCTTTTACACAACGCCAACAACAAATCCACAGTACTAATCAACCACTTACGATGCACCAATCAACTTCCGCTTCATCTTCAGAAAAATCCACATCATCCATTCCCAACACCCGCACCCGTGCACAACGTATACGCCTGAAAAATTATATCCAACAAATCCACCCATATACACAGTCAACCGCCTCTCCGCATCTAGACTCCTGCGAAGCAATCATACTAGACATACTAATACGCAAGAGTTTTTACTTCTTACCATCCCATTATTTTACCTTAGTATCACTTTAATAACCAAGAAACCCTGAGCCAAAGAGATTCTTCTGTTGACGAATACACGCTAATCCCAACGATACCTTGGTTTTGCTTCTGTAACTTCACTAATTCACTAAGAGTACCACTTCGCAAATCAGATGAGGATGAATTATATGTAACAGCTCTCCACATGCTCACTACCGCCATACAAGTTAAAGGTTTTTATTAACCTTGGCTGATCACAAGTCATTAGCCGTTTCATCGCACGCAAGTCCAACCACTTCCTCATCGCACATTACGACCACGCTGTAATCCGATACATGGAAGGTTCATTCACCATACGTCACCGGCATTGCAGTAAACTCGCAACTCAAAAAAATTTCATCAAAACTGATTATTTTTTTGATTTACATAGCAGTAACAAAATTCGATCATGTCATCGTGCATGCACTAAAAAACACCAAAGCTTATGATTCATACTTTAGCCTCTTTGACAGTTTCCACCTATCATTCAGTTTTCTTTACCTAGAGAACGCCAAAATGACTGCTCGCACGAACTAATGTTGAAAACGAAACTAATCCACACGATCAGACGCTAAAAAAGCTTTTATTCAATATGTTGTTAAAGGTTTTCAAAGTTTTTGAAAATGTTCATTGCTGCCATTTTGTAGCTTGATTTAAGAGAAACTTGATTTTTTTTCAATGACAGATTTTTCTTGGCGCTATTTTGAACGCCTGTAGTTAGAGCTTCTGGAACCTTGTTTCAAACCATTTTTACCCCAGATAATTTTTTGCTAAAAAAAATCTAAAACAGAATTGCCTTAATTTTCCCCCAATGACAAAAAATGATCTGAAACCGGTTTACTACCTTATATCAAGCGTCTATGATATTAAAAGGCATCAACATAACCTTTTGTCTGGGTGGAGATCTTAAGTAATCTTTCATTACTATGACTAAAAATTTTCATTTGAGACGCAAGCTAGCTGCCTATGCGTGTTTTCTGTCAAAAACTTTGATATTCGAGAGTAGGTTTGAAACAACAATAGGCAAACGGAGAAAATTTAGGCACACATATCTGTAAAAAAAATTTTGTGGGAGCAAAACAACAAACTTTGTATAGTTGGACTGGTGAAAATTGATTTCATATTGAGTATTACTTAGATAATTTCATCAATATCACTGTGAGTACTTTAGAGAGGATAAGGCGTACAAGCTTCAAACTTTGAAACTTAATCGCTCAAAAATGTTTACGACATTATCTTATGGCTTTTTTTTGTGTATTCGGCTCGACGAGTGTCTCGCCACTTTTTTTTCTGTTTTTATCTATCCTCAATGTTTAGTGTTAATTGGCGTTGAAGGCGCTTATAGATAATAATAGGGTTGGTTGACCCAAATGGATGTTTTAGTATAGTATCAAAGAAGGGACCCTTTGGGTCGTCGAAGGTGGCAGGGGTTGGCTTCCGCCTCATGTCTATGTTTCTAGTAATCCACATTTAAGTGCTGCCTTTTAACTGGTTGACTGCCTGGCTGATTTAGGCCCAGAGACGATCCATGTATCAAGATAACATACCAGCGACTGACTGGACCAGTGACAGTGTCTGAGAACTGGAACCCATTGGCCAAGCACCTCCCATGGTGCATCCTCACTTCACACCCCCTCAAGCGCAAACCAGAGGGCAACACAGACAAATACGATGTAAGTTGAGGGGGGAGGGGGGCTAAAACAACAAAACAACAACAATCAATTTTATAGTAGGGGGATAGTGGATACTCTCGATATTGAGACTTTTGAAGTAAAGGGTTAGTTGCCTACTTGGAATTGCGTAATCAAAAGTTGTTTAAGCTTGTGGATATCCCTGGGGTGAACCGATGGCAGTGGGCAAAGTTTAGGCAGTAGGGCACGGGAAGGGAGGGGCGAACAGAGTTATTTTTTTTCCTTACAGTTAATTTATCAATTTTTTCAGTTCATTAAACTTGCGAAGCAAAGTGTATTAGTACGAGCTTTCAATTTTTTTCCGACCTAAGTCGCAAATATTGGTGCCACTTTTAGGGCACCTTTGCAGCTTTTTGATAGAATGTGCTTTGACATTCGAATAGTAATAAGTTAACTCAGTTGATGCATTATAACCGCATTAAATTAACCGAAAAAAGCTACTAGTTTCAAAGACTATATAAAAGCTACATGACTATAATTAAAACTCAGTTTCAGAAATTTTCTAATTCAATGTATCTCGAAATTTTTGAAATCAAAAATTTATACATAATGTGACTTTATGCTTTCCGATTTCTTACATGAAAAGTTGGATGCCTTCAGTTTGTTGTTCCAATTTTTGTAACGAAATTAACGGAATATTAGTGCTCGGGTGGTTTTTAAAATATCGACGCGACGTTCATCAAGATATACAAGTTCATAATTTACAAATATTATTTCAACGAAATCTTGTTTTGAAATTTGAAATAAAAAAATACATTATCTGAAACATAATATTCTACCTATGCCTCAACTAGCAATTACAGTAGAATCTCACCTTCTCCAGTTAATTGTGCTAAATTAATATATAAACTCGACCGATATACGAAGAAAACAGTTGGCTACACGTCTTTTTACAATCCCTTTTCCGGACTGTCGTACACACGTATCTTTTAAAATATATAGTTTTGAACATAGTTTGTCCCTTAACACATTTGAAACCAACATCCATAAGAATCGATTTCCACGAACAGGACCACAAGGCCCTCTAGTAAGACTCTATGATTGCGACAACAAAAAGTTACACAATTATGCAATAAACCAAGTCACTCAATGTGAATCACACTATACTCCAAAGCCCGCGCTGCAACACTTATAGGCTGGAAATTGAAATGGAAGTTTTCTGAAAAGAAAGCACACTGTTCAAAATTTCAAATGGAAATAAAAATAGACTTGATCACGAATCATATCAACAAAGTAATATTCAACCATTACTACATCTTTATCCTGAAGACTGCAAATATCAACTATAAAAACTAAATATAGTTAAGAATAAAGTAAAAGTAGAAAACGTGGAGCTTTCACTTTTTCCCACACTACTCAACAACACCAACTTGAACAAAAATAAATAACCAAAAACAGTATTTGCATAAAAATATTGGAAAAACTATTTTTAATCTCAATTCCGAAGTCCTAGATGAATATGAAAACGTATACGATATGAAAACAGGAAAACTCATCATCCATGAAACCGCAACAAATAGAAATCGCTACGATGAGAAATCCTACATACCTTTCTCATTCCATAAAAACAATGGACAATTGAGTGGAAAAATTTCTCCAGAAGATCGTGATAGCAAACGACTTAGGAACTATCTCTGATGAATGAAACTTTTTTGGAGCAATTCACCATCACACACATTCAGATATGAAACTTGATTCATTATCAGCAGAATTTTCCGAGAATTGTCACTATGAGAATTCTAAATACTACATCACTTATGCGCAGTAGAACGATCACAAATACTACAATCTTAAGTACTAGCAGTATGGAAAATCCCTTATACAGGATACCTACTTCCAGGCAATTGATCAAACTTCATCGAATATAAAGGCGACATTCTTTGGTGTTACACCTCCAGGAAAAAAGTATCACCTCTTTATCATTTGCCGATAAACGCTGTTATCAAAAAATTCTCGCTGCTCGTTTTTTTTTAAAAGTAATGTTCATTTCGTACATACAATTTTCATGAGAAAACTGTTTTTATTGATTGAGGAGATATTTTGTGCACGAAATTTTTTGCGCTGAGATTATTCAGATACATTTCACACTTCAGTATATATTATATACATCTCATGTATCTAAATAATCTCAACGGAGAAAATTTGCGCGCTCAGTATATCTCCTCAATCAATATCTTTAGTTTCCTGCATATTAAAGTTATAACTGTTAGCTTTTTAGGATGGACGCATTACATCCTAGAGAGACTCCCAATTCTCTACGCCATGTTTAACGTTATAGGATTTTTGTTTTAGCCCTTAAAGGAATATACAACACAGGTGCATTCCATACGCAAATCAACAGGCAAGCATGCCTAGCTCAAGTATAGCAGGATTTTATGGAATTTTTCCAACTTCCATAAGTGAAATTTTACCTGACGCCCAAATTAACCAATACAATTAAAAAAACATTCCTCAAATCCCAGCCTATATGACGACCCACAAACAACACACATAATAACGCCTACAGCACCGATACAATCACATAGTTTACCGAATCAAAATCAATTTCAAATCATTTCACACAAGTTAAAGAACAACTTTCAACTACCATCATGACAATGAAACAACGAAGCCCAATCTCCCATATTGTTTATCATGCACATAATTCGAATGAAGCATGTGAACAAATTAAAGATTAAACACATACAGTAAGTTTTCGTTCTCATGTTGATAATAAATTTAGCTCGCAATGAGCTGCCAAATCGGAGACATCAACCGATCTTTTCAGAGACTTCCAATCTCCTATGCCAGAACTCTTCACTTCCATCAATGAACTTCTCTACATATTTTCCATTCCAGTTTCTCCACTTCATCACGAAACTCATCCGACAAGCACTCAGATGACTCAATCCAGACAGTTTTTAACGCACAATAATGTTAAGAAAATCCCAAACAAGACATCCCGATTAATTTAATGACTCAGAAGCCAGCCCAATTACTAACTTTTCACAACCACCTTCTATCCCTTTTATTTCCTCAAATCCAATCTTCACCTGTTCATTAACTCCAGTTTCTCATATACCGACGCTTCCCCGATCCTTTCACGACTACCTAGCACTATTAACGACATCTAGAACCCTATCAATGAGGATCAATTTGAGCCCGACTTAGATGCTTTTACACAACGCCAACAACAAATCCACAGTACTAATCAACCACTTACGATACACCAATCAACTTCCGCTTCATCTTCAGAAAAATCCACATCATCTATTCCCGCACCCGTGCACAACGTATACGCCTGAAAAATTATATCCAACAAATCCACCCATATACCCAGTCAACCGCCTCTCCGCATCTAGACTCCTGCGAAGCAATCATCCTAGACATACTAATACGCAAGAGTTTTTACTTCTTACCATCCCATTATTTTACCTTAGTATCACGTTAATAACCAAGAAACCCCGAGCCAAAGAGATTCTTCTGTTGACGAATACACGCTAATCCCAACGATACCTTGGTTTTGCTTCTGTAACTTCACTAATTCACTAAGAGTACCACTTCGCAAATCAGATGAGGATGAATTATATGTAACAGCTCTCCACATGCTCACTACCGCCATACAAGTTAAAGGTTTTTATTAACCTTGGCTGATCACAAGTCATTAGCCGTTTCATCGCACGCAAGTCCAACCACTTCCTCATCGCACCTTACGACCACGCTGTAATCCGATACATGGAAGGTTCATTCACCATACGTCACCGGCATTGCAGTAAACTCGCAACTCAAAAATATTTCATCAAAACTGATTATTTTTTCGATTTACATAGCATTAACAAAATTCGATCATGTCATCGTGCATGCACTAAAAAACACCAAAGCTTATGATTCATACTTTAGCCTCTTTGACAGTTTCCACCTATCATTCAGTTTTCTTATACCTAGAGAACGCCAAAATGACTGCTCGCACGAACTAATGTTGAAAACGAAACTAATCCACACGATCAGACGCTAAAAAAGCTTTTATTCAATATGTTGTTAAAGGTTTTCAAAGTTTTTGAAAGTGTTCATCGCTGCCATTTTGTAGCTTGATTTAAGAGAAACTTGATTTTTTTTCAATGACAGATTTTTCTTGGCGCTAATTTGAACGCCTGTAGTTAGAGCTTCTGGAACCTTGTTTCAAACCATTTTTACCCCAGATAATTTTTTGCTAAAAAAAATCTGTAAAACAGAATTGCCTTAATTTTCCCCCAATGACAAAAAATAATCTTAAACCGGTATACTACCTTATATCAAGCGTCTATGATATTAAAAGGCATCAACATAACCTTTTGTCTGGGTGGAGATCTTAAGTAATCTTTCATTACTATGACTAAAAATTTTCATTTGAGACGCAAGCTAGCTGCCTATGCGTGTTTTCTGTCAAAAACTTTGATATTCGAGAGTAGGTTTGAAACAACAATAGGCAAACGGAGAAAATTTAGGCACACATATCTGTAAAAAAAATTTTGTGGGAGCAAAACAACAAAATTTGTATAGTTGGACTGGTGAAAATTGATTTCATATTGAGTATTACTTAGATAATTTCATCAATATCACTGTGAGTACTTTAGAGAGGATAAGGCGTACAAGCTTCAAACTTTGAAACTTAATCGCTCAAAAATGTTTACGACATTATCTTATGGCTTTTTTTTGTGTATTCGGCTCGACGAGTGTCTCGCCACTTTTTTTTCTGTTTTTATCTATCCTCAATGTTTAGTGTTAATTGGCGTTGAAGGCGCTTATAGATAATAATAGGGTTGGTTGACCCAAATGGATGTTTTAGTATAGTATCAAAGAAGGGACCCTTTGGGTCGTCGAAGGTGGCAGGGGTTGGCTTCCGCCTCATGTCTATGTTTCTAGTAATCCACATTTAAGTGCTGCCTTTTAACTGGTTGACTGCCTGGCTGATTTAGGCCCAGAGACGATCCATGTATCAAGATAACATACCAGCGACTGACTGGACCAGTGACAGTGTCTGAGAACTGGAACCCATTGGCCAAGCACCTCCCATGGTGCATCCTCACTTCACACCCCCTCAAGCGCAAACCAGAGGGCAACACAGACAAATACGATGTAAGTTGAGGGGGGAGGGGGGCTAAAACACAACAAAACAACAACAATCAATTTTATAGTAGGGGGATAGTGGATACTCTCGATATTGAGACTTTTGAAGTAAAGGGTTAGTTGCCTACTTGGAATTGCGTAATCAAAAGTTGTTTAAGCTTGTGGATATCCCTGGGGTGAACCGATGGCAGTGGGCAAAGTTTAGGCAGTAGGGCACGGGAAGGGAGGGGCGAACAGAGTTATTTTTTTTCCTTACAGTTAATTTATCAATTTTTTCAGTTCATTAAACTTGCGAAGCAAAGTGTATTAGTACGAGCTTTCAATTTTTTTCCGACCTAAGTCGCAAATATTGGTGCCACTTTTAGGGCACCTTTGCAGCTTTTTGATAGAATGTGCTTTGACATTCGAATAGTAATAAGTTAACTCAGTTGATGCATTATAACCGCATTAAATTAACCGAAAAAAGCTACTAGTTTCAAAGACTATATAAAAGCTACATGACTATAATTAAAACTCAGTTTCAGAAATTTTCTAATTCAATGTATCTCGAAATTTTTGAAATCAAAAATTTATACATAATGTGACTTTATGCTTTCCGATTTCTTACATGAAAAGTTGGATGCCTTCAGTTTGTTGTTCCAATTTTTGTAACGAAATTAACGGAATATTAGTGCTCGGGTGGTTTTTAAAATATCGACGCGACGTTCATCAAGATATACAAGTTCATAATTTACAAATATTATTTCAACGAAATCTTGTTTTGAAATTTGAAATAAAAAAATACATTATCTGAAACATAATATTCTACCTATGCCTCAACTAGCAATTACAGTAGAATCTCACCTTCTCCAGTTAATTGTGCTAAATTAATATATAAACTCGACCGATATACGAAGAAAACAGTTGGCTACACGTCTTTTTACAATCCCTTTTCCGGACTGTCGTACACACGTATCTTTTAAAATATATAGTTTTGAACATAGTTTGTCCCTTAACACATTTGAAACCAACATCCATAAGAATCGATTTCCACGAACAGGACCACAAGGCCCTCTAGTAAGACTCTATGATTGCGACAACAAAAAGTTACACAATTATGCAATAAACCAAGTCACTCAATGTGAATCACACTATACTCCAAAGCCCGCGCTGCAACACTTATAGGCTGGAAATTGAAATGGAAGTTTTCTGAAAAGAAAGCACACTGTTCAAAATTTCAAATGGAAATAAAAATAGACTTGATCACGAATCATATCAACAAAGTAATATTCAACCATTACTACATCTTTATCCTGAAGACTGCAAATATCAACTATAAAAACTAAATATAGTTAAGAATAAAGTAAAAGTAGAAAACGTGGAGCTTTCACTTTTTCCCACACTACTCAACAACACCAACTTGAACAAAAATAAATAACCAAAAACAGTATTTGCATAAAAATATTGGAAAAACTATTTTAAATCTCAATTCCGAAGTCCTAGATGAATATGAAAACGTATACGATATGAAAACAGGAAAACTCATCATCCATGAAACCGCAACAAATAGAAATCGCTACGATGAGAAATCCTACATACCTTTCTCATTCCATAAAAACAATGGACAATTGAGTGGAAAAATTTCTCCAGAAGATCGTGATAGCAAACGACTTAGGAACTATCTCTGATGAATGAAACTTTTTTGGAGCAATTCACCATCACACACATTCAGATATGAAACTTGATTCATTATCAGCAGAATTTTCCGAGAATTGTCACTATGAGAATTCTAAATACTACATCACTTATGCGCAGTAGAACGATCACAAATACTACAATCTTAAGTACTAGCAGTATGGAAAATCCCTTATACAGGATACCTACTTCCAGGCAATTGATCAAACTTCATCGAATATAAAGGCGACATTCTTTGGTGTTACACCTCCAGGAAAAAAGTATCACCTCTTTATCATTTGCCGATAAACGCTGTTATCAAAAAATTCTCGCTGCTCGTTTTTTTTTTAAAAGTAATGTTCATTTCGTACATACAATTTTCATGAGAAAACTGTTTTTATTGATTGAGGAGATATTTTGTGCACGAAATTTTTTGCGCTGAGATTATTCAGATACATTTCACACTTCAGTATATATTATATACATCTCATGTATCTAAATAATCTCAACGGAGAAAATTTGCGCGCTCAGTGTATCTCCTCAATCAATATCTTTAGTTTCCTGCATATTAAAGTTATAACTGTTAGCTTTTTAGGATGGCCGCATTACATCCTAGAGAGACTCCCAATTCTCTACGCCATGTTTAACGTTATAGGATTTTTGTTTTAGCCCTTAAAGGAATATACAACACAGGTGCATTCCATACGCAAATCAACAGGCAAGCATGCCTAGCTCAAGTACAGCAGGATTTTATGGAATTTTTCCAACTTCCATAAGTGAAATTTTACCTGACGCCCAAATTAACCAATACAATTAAAAAAACATTCCTCAAATCCCAGCCTATATGACGACCCACAAACAACACACATAATAACGCCTACAGCACCGATACAATCACATAGTTTACCGAATCAAAATCAATTTCAAATCATTTCACACAAGTTAAAGAACAACTTTCAACTACCATCATGACAATGAAACAACGAAGCCCAATCTCCCATATTGTTTATCATGCACATAATTCGAATGAAGCATGTGAACAAATTAAAGATTAAACACATACAGTAAGTTTTCGTTCTCATGTTGATAATAAATTTAGCTCGCAATGAGCTGCCAAATCGGAGACATCAACCGATCTTTTCAGAGACTTCAAATCTCCTATGCCAGAACTCTTCACTTCCATCAATGAACTTCTCTACATATTTTCCATTCCAGTTTCTCCACTTCATCACGAAACTCATCCGACAAGCACTCAGATGACTCAATCCAGACAGTTTTTAACGCACAATAATGTTAAGAAAATCCCAAACAAGACATCCCGATTAATTTAATGACTCAGAAGCCAGCCCAATTACTAACTTTTCACAACCACCTTCTATCCCTTTTATTTCCTCAAATCCAATCTTCACCTGTTCATTAACTCCAGTTTCTCATATACCGACGCTTCCCCGATCCTTTCACGACTACCTAGCACTATTAACGACATCTAGAACCCTATCAATGAGGATCAATTTGAGCCCGACTTAGATGCTTTTACACAACGCCAACAACAAATCCACAGTACTAATCAACCACTTACGATACACCAATCAACTTCCGCTTCATCTTCAGAAAAATCCACATCATCTATTCCCAACACCCGCACCCGTGCACAACGTATACGCCTGAAAAATTATATCCAACAAATCCACCCATATACCCAGTCAACCGCCTCTCCGCATCTAGACTCCTGCGAAGCAATCATCCTAGACATACTAATACGCAAGAGTTTTTACTTCTTACCATCCCATTATTTTACCTTAGTATCACGTTAATAACCAAGAAACCCCGAGCCAAAGAGATTCTTCTGTTGACGAATACACGCTAATCCCAACGATACCTTGGTTTTGCTTCTGTAACTTCACTAATTCACTAAGAGTACCACTTCGCAAATCAGATGAGGATGAATTATATGTAACAGCTCTCCACATGCTCACTACCGCCATACAAGTTAAAGGTTTTTATTAACCTTGGCTGATCACAAGTCATTAGCCGTTTCATCGCACGCAAGTCCAACCACTTCCTCATCGCACCTTACGACCACGCTGTAATCCGATACATGGAAGGTTCATTCACCATACGTCACCGGCATTGCAGTAAACTCGCAACTCAAAAATATTTCATCAAAACTGATTATTTTTTCGATTTACATAGCATTAACAAAATTCGATCATGTCATCGTGCATGCACTAAAAAACACCAAAGCTTATGATTCATACTTTAGCCTCTTTGACAGTTTCCACCTATCATTCAGTTTTCTTATACCTAGAGAACGCCAAAATGACTGCTCGCACGAACTAATGTTGAAAACGAAACTAATCCACACGATCAGACGCTAAAAAAGCTTTTATTCAATATGTTGTTAAAGGTTTTCAAAGTTTTTGAAAGTGTTCATCGCTGCCATTTTGTAGCTTGATTTAAGAGAAACTTGATTTTTTTTCAATGACAGATTTTTCTTGGCGCTAATTTGAACGCCTGTAGTTAGAGCTTCTGGAACCTTGTTTCAAACCATTTTTACCCCAGATAATTTTTTGCTAAAAAAAATCTGTAAAACAGAATTGCCTTAATTTTCCCCCAATGACAAAAAATAATCTTAAACCGGTATACTACCTTATATCAAGCGTCTATGATATTAAAAGGCATCAACATAACCTTTTGTCTGGGTGGAGATCTTAAGTAATCTTTCATTACTATGACTAAAAATTTTCATTTGAGACGCAAGCTAGCTGCCTATGCGTGTTTTCTGTCAAAAACGTTGATATTCGAGAGTAGGTTTGAAACAACAATAGGCAAACGGAGAAAATTTAGGCACACATATCTGTAAAAAAAATTTTGTGGGAGCAAAACAACAAACTTTGTATAGTTGGACTGGTGAAAATTGATTTCATATTGAGTGTTACTTAGATAATTTCATCAATATCACTGTGAGTACTTTAGAGAGGATAAGGCGTACAAGCTTCAAACTTTGAAACTTAATCGCTCAAAAATGTTTACGACATTATCTTATGGCTTTTTTTTGTGTATTCGGCTCGACGAGTGTCTCGCCACTTTTTTTTCTGTTTTTATCTATCCTCAATGTTTAGTGTTAATTGGCGTTGAAGGCGCTTATAGATAATAATAGGGTTGGTTGACCCAAATGGATGTTTTAGTATAGTATCAAAGAAGGGACCCTTTGGGTCGTCGAAGGTGGCAGGGGTTGGCTTCCGCCTCATGTCTATGTTTCTAGTAATCCACATTTAAGTGCTGCCTTTTAACTGGTTGACTGCCTGGCTGATTTAGGCCCAGAGACGATCCATGTATCAAGATAACATACCAGCGACTGACTGGACCAGTGACAGTGTCTGAGAACTGGAACCCATTGGCCAAGCACATCCCATGGTGCATCCTCACTTCACACCCCCTCAAGCGCAAACCAGAGGGCAACACAGACAAATACGATGTAAGTTGAGGGGGGAGAGGGGCTAAAACACAACAAAACAACAACAATCAATTTTATAGTAGGGGGATAGTGGATACTCTCGATATTGAGACTTTTGAAGTCAAGGGTTAGTTGCCTACTTGGAATTGCGTAATCAAAAGTTGTTTAAGCTTGTGGATATCCCTGGGGTGAACCGATGGCAGTGGGCAAAGTTTAGGCAGTAGGGCACGGGAAGGGAGGGGCGAACAGAGTTATTTTTTTTTCCTTACAGTTAATTTATCAATTTTTTCAGTTCATTAAACTTGCGAAGCAAAGTGTATTAGTACGAGCTTTCAATTTTTTTCCGACCTAAGTCGCAAATATTGGTGCCACTTTTAGGGCACCTTTGCAGCTTTTTGATAGAATGTGCTTTGACATTCGAATAGTAATAAGTTAACTCAGTTGATGCATTATAACCGCATTAAATTAACCGAAAAAAGCTACTAGTTTCAAAGACTATATAAAAGCTACATGACTATAATTAAAACTCAGTTTCAGAGATTTTCTAATTCAATGTATCTCGAAATTTTTGAAATCAAAAATTTATACATAATGTGACTTTATGCTTTCCGATTTCTTACATGAAAAGTTGGATGCCTTCAGTTTGTTGTTCCGATTTTTGTAACGAAATTAACGGAATATTAGTGCTCGGGTGGTTTTTTCAGACAAATTTCGACTTTTTAACTAGTCATGTTTTGACAAATTTTTCAAATTCATTTGAAAGCCTTTGTTGTGCTAAATTTAATTTTGAAAAGGTATCTCATCTGTGATCATTTTCTGTTGAGTTATGAATGTTTAAAGATTGCCAATTTGGGACAATTATCGCGCGATATATTTTGCGCTATTAAAGCTTAAGCGTAGATTTAATCCGTCTTAGACTTCGTTCCAAATTGTTTGAAGCAGTCTATTTGCCGTAATTGATTTGTTATTAGGAGCGGAGTCTATCATTTTGTACTTTATATGGTGTGTGGCGGATGATTTTCACAAAAAATCTCAAATTAAAAAAATATCCTTTTTTATTACAATTGTCTTTTACGTTCTGACTGCTCAATAGATCTCAAAAGTCAGGGGGAACATTCAGTGCTTCGTCCTGATACAAGCAGTCTTGTTATCTTTAAATTTTTTAAAACATATGTAGCATCGTTATTGGCTAGTTTTTAACATATGTAGCTTCGTTATTGGCTAGTTTTTGGGATTTTAAGCTTCCGTGGCTGAGTCTTCAGTGTATGAGATTGTGATGGTGCTATCGTTATGTGTTAGAATAGATCTCGTGTTAATGTTAAAGGTCCTTGTCCTAGTTGACGTTGACTAGTGCTTGATCAAGTTATGTTCGATAATACATTGTTGAGTTGTCGTTACGATCTGATTTGTAACAGTATGTTCTAAGGCTGAATTAACATTGATAGCACCTATTGTTTTTTGAGTTAAGGAAGTATCATTCGGTTTCCATAAGTAAGATTTTACATCACAGCCGTAGAATACACTTACTTTATGGCGCAGTCAGCAAAAGTACCAGTGGACGCGAATAATCTGCTTAAAATATCGATTTTTTGGGACATACAGACGACACAACTACCGACGGAGTGGCGTTGATGGAGCAATGGTTTAAAATTAGGGTTTTTTTGCGAAAATAGGCATAACATTTGAATGCGTTATTAGGGCCGAAACTGACAGCAGTTGCGTTACCAGAAGCTCCAGTAAAGGAACCAGCCCTAGATGGCGATCCGGCTACAAATACTAGAGATGATAACATTCGAAACGCACGGTATAGAACAAGATGAGAGATCAAATGTAAAGGTGTCCTAATTGTAGGAGTGTTTTGCGATATGATTCCATGGGATACGGCGATGAGAAAAGCCAAGTCACTCATGATTTTTGTCACTAGGAGAGGTACAAACCATTTCGCGAGACGTTATCCGAAGGTGGATATCAATGACGATTCCATTAGAATGAGGAAGTTTTAGTAGAACATGGTGGTGTTTTTCCGAAAACCGAGAAACCGAAGGCTCGAAAAATACGTACTTTTTCACGAAAACCAGCAAAAGGGAAGTTTTTTATCAGTTCTACTGCCACCTGAGGGGCTTGAAAGAAGATTGTAGTTCGGGCAGGAGAAGTTACAATGGTCATCGATATGTTTGTAATCAATAAGTCAATTTCAAGATTCAGGAAGAACTCATGACTGAGGTGATGACTCAGGAAAGGACTCTAGAGTACGCATTACTATTAGAGCAGACACAGAAGAACACGATTTGGCAGATCGTTTTAAGAGTCCAAGTTCAAGATCACAACATGGCCCAATCGATTTGCTTGCTTTGCTTCTTGGATCTGAGATTCGAAGTCAATCAAATACTTCCTATCATCTGGAATGCACTGGAAAAGTGGACATCTAGTTTCGGATTCCTTCAATTTTGAAGTAAGCGTCAGAAATTCTTAGATGCGCTGATTTGCTCAAAACTCAATTAGCTGGCAGACTTTTGCCTAGGAAATTTTAGTCACTAGTTTCCAGACCTTCAGAGATAATTCCATTTTTTCATGAAAGGCAAGATTATCAGAAACTTGTTAAAACTTGTTTATAAACAAATTTAAATTATTTCAGAGTGCTTTTGCTCAATTTAAAATACATTGCTCATCAAAAACGAAAATTTAGTGTAAGCTAAAAAAAATGGTTATCATGCAAATTATTGTTATGATTGCTTCTACGTAATGAAAGACGGCATCCCCAGCCGTAAAGTTGGATCTCATACTCTGATATTCGGTGATTTGAATGCGAGAATCAGTGCGGAGCAATTGACCGAATTAAGACCACTAGCTGGTGCCTGGTCTGACGACCAAGAAACAAACTCAAACGGTGAGAAATAGCTGGAGTTTTGTTCGACACACGATTTAAAAATCGTGAACACGTTATTCAAGAGGCTTATAACGTGGCGTCATACCAGAGGCTCAGGTGCAGTCATTGATTATATCTTGTCCGATCGGAACACCGTCTGGAGAATATTAGAGCCAGTTGGGGAGGTAGTTCCGGGTATCACTGAGATCATGCTAAACTTGTAGGTGTGATCTTACCTCCGACAGAACCAGGCAAAAAGGCGTTTGATGGTGAAATCCTTCTCAGAAAAAGCTTAAAAAGGAAGTATCCTGGACTACGGTTCAAAATCAATACCTGTCTGAAATCGGTCCACGGTCGCTCATTCCTAACATCAGATAACCGCTTGTCCCACACTGACTCCATTGAGAGCCTCAATATAACTCTAAGGAGTTGGTGTGCAATGTCCATGCTAGGTTACCGGTTCCGGAACCTGAGGAAAAAGAGGGTACATTCTTCAAGTCTGAACATCGTTTGTTATTAAAAGAAGAAGAAGTGCACACTCTCAGATTATAAACAACAGAACTGACGAATTGGTTGCAGCAAGGAAAAGGCTAAATTTGAAGTGCAACAAGCTGAGGAAGTTTGTACAAAATGAGATATTAGAGAGCGGCCTGGAAGGATTTCAAGACAAGCATGTCCTCAGACAAACGCGTGAAGCTTTTAAGGTGTTGAAAGAGACTCTTAGGAGTGTTCGTTTGAGTTGGTTGGAGAGAAGGAGCAAAGCTGAAGTCAGTAATGTGAAGTTTCAAAAGCATTATGAGAAGCTGTTAACGAACAAACTGGCGAGTGAAAAGTTTTTGTTGAAAGGTCACTACCAGGGGCGGATATTGGACCTCCTAAAGGGGCAGAGGTAGTACAAGCCTTGAGAGAAATCAACACTGGCAAGGCTCCCGGTGAGAGTCAGATCACCAGTGACCTTCTTAAGTGGCTCGAAGAAAATTTTCAATCCTCTCAAAAAGATTTTCGCTGATATCTGGCTTGAGCCGGGAAAAGTTTCCAAATTTGGAGGGACGCCGTAATACTCAATCTGTTCAAGAAAGGAAGCAGAGCAGAACCGAACAATTAGTGGAGCATTTTCCTTCATGACCAAGTTGGCAAAGTGTTCGCAAAGGTGATTGCAAATAGGGTGAATAAGCAGCTGCCGAAGATCTCACCCTGTCAATTTTGGTTCCGAAAGCACACATCAATAGGCCAATCTATCTTGGCAATTAGATGTTTGCTTCAAAGAAGGATTGAAAACCATCAAGTTTGTATGACTTTCATTGACCTGAAGAAGGCTTTTGATTCTATTGATAGGGGAGTGCTGTTTATCGCCCTAAGGGATTTTGGAATCCCATGAGATATCATCAGTTTGATTGAAGCGCTCCACACCAAACCCATCGGTAAGATTGCTAAGGATAACATCTTTGTAGTGAACCGGTTAGTGCGTTTTAGGCCCACTGTTGTTTATCATCCTTTTTGACTTCCTCCTAAGTAAGACCAGTGGAGATAAAAGAAACTTTGCATACGCTGATGATCTGCCCTTGATCTCTGACAGCCAAGTAAATGCTACCAAGTCGCTAAATGAGATTGAAATAACCTTTGCCTTGGCTCAATTAGAAATTTCTGCCGAGAAAACTAAAAGTATTGTGATAAACACCAAAGACAATACTAATGTTCCTATCAAATTACCCAGTGAAGAGGTAGAACAGGTTAATCACTTTGAGTACCTCGGCAGCATCATAACAGCTGATGGGAGAGCTGACAAGGCTATCAGCGCTGGCATTTCTAAATCCAGGAAATCAATGTTACGTCTTAGACCGGCCCTGGTGTCTAAAAGGTTGACACTAAGGAAAAAGGGTCTCCAGTCCTGCTATACGGCTTAGAGACCCTTGTTATCAGATAAACTGATCTTGGTGGACTAGAAGTGGTTATACACCGCGCTAAAAGAATGTCTCAGACTAGAAACTAGAAACGAAATGAAACTAAAGGAAATGAATGAAAAAGTAAAAACAACGCAAATCGCACTATGCAAGAGAAGGGTTCAACTCTATGCTTCTTATGAAAACATTGGGGTCGATAGCTTGAATGATATACTTGAAGGTGCTAGAGTTTGGCAAAAAGATTCGATTGGGCT